CGATTTTGAGTTAGCATTTCTAAAAATTCTCAGATACATATAAACTGTAAAACACATGTCTTAGCTATGGTTTCTGTGAATTTTGAGTATATCAATTGAAGCACGACTAACAGTAACAGTATATATATATAAAATTCTTCTGCATCGCTCCTACGATCGTAAGCACGCATCATGGGTCTGCCCTAAACCGACCAGGCTCTTCGACTGTTACACTCTCCAACGTAGTGTTAAGCGAGAAGGGAACTTGTGGCTAGGGTCTGCCCGTCAGACGTATCGCGCGTCATCATTAGCTGGCTGCCTATATGTGCTCCATGCCTCTAGTGTAAAAATTCGCCACAATGCCCTGCCGCAAAACCCGCCATCTCCGCGCTCATACGTCTTCCGCTCGCTTTCGCTGCTGCTGATCGATACGCCTGATCTACGAGAGGTAAGATATGATCGTGTATTTTCGTGGTGGGGTGGGGGCGAGCGGAGGCAGTGAAGGGAGGAGGAAGCGGGGAAGGGGAGGCAGTGAGGGGGAGGAGGAAGCGGGGAAGGGGAGGCAGTGAGGGGAGGAGGAAGCGGGGAAGGGGAGGCAGTGAGGGGAGGAGGAAGCGGGGAAGGGGAGGCAGTGAGGGAGAGGAGGGAGCGGGGAAGGGCAGGAAGCGGGGAAGGCGGAAGGCGGAGGCAGTAGAGGGGAGAGCGGAAGCGGGGAAGGGAGGCAGTAAGGGGGTGGAGAGAGAGGGAGCACGTGAAAAGGGGGGGAAAAGGAGGACGCGGGGAAGGGGAGGCAGTGAGGGGGAGGAGGAAGCGGGAAAGGGAGGAAGCGGGAATGGGTGGAGGCAGTGAGGGGAGGAGGCGGGGAAGGGGAGGCAGTTGAGGGGAGGAGGAAAGCGGGGAGGGGAGGCAGGTGAGGGGGAGGAGGAAGCGGGGAAGGGGAGGCGAGGGTGAGGGAGAAGGAAGCGGAGAAGGGGGAGGCAGTGAGGGGGGAGAGAGGAGCGGGAAGGAGGAGTGAGGGGGAAGAGGAGCGGGGAAGGGGAGGCAGTGAGGGTAGGAGAAGCGGGGGAAGGGAGGCAGTGAGGGGGAAGAAGGAACGGGGAACAGGGAGGCAGCGGGGAAGGGGAGGCAAGTACAATTGCTCGTAAATCGAGTTGGCGTCGTCGTGTCTTAATGCCGCCAGGTCGCATGAGGAAGGTAACCTGTACCTGAGGTTCAAATTGTACGGGGCAGCATGCGGGAAGATGGAGAGCGTGTGTTGCTGGGCAGGGGTACGGGGCAGCATGCGGGGAGATGGAGAGCAGTGTGGTATTCGTGGCAGGGTAGCGGGCAGCATGCGGGGAGATGGAGAGGACGTGTGTATGTGCAGGGGTCCGGGCTGCCCTGGCGGCCGGAAAGATGGAGAGCGTCGTGTAATGCAGAGTACAGGGCAGCAGATGCGGAGATGGACGACGCGTGGGTATACGTGCGAGGGGTACGGGCAAGCATGCGGAGGAAGATGGAGAGGCGTGTGTATGTACAGGTACGGGCACTTGCGGAGCGTATGTGAATAATAAAGTGAATGTGAATAACACGAAATGTATGTACTAAGAAACGATTCTATGTAGGTGTTTATGTATTACTCCATGGACGAAATAATTCCAACGTAAATGCCGTTTCAAATGCTCCTGCATTCTGCAACATACAATTTCCCGCACACCTACGCGCAGCGCGCGTGTGTGTGAGCGAGGCAGAGAATCTCCTTTTGCTCCTTCTGTTTCCGCGCTCGTGCTCGCCTCTCTGCCCCTTTCTCGCTCTTTCTTCTGCCCCCCTCTCTTCTCTCTCTCTCTCTGATGCTCTCTCTCTCTCTCTCTCTCGATCAGGTGGCTCGCATAGCGTGAACGAATCTGTCAAAGAGTTGATAGCGCCGGCGTCTAATGAGGACACATTCAGAGCACGCCACAGCTCGCAGCATCAGTCGAACTCACGGCGAGGCGTAATTAGAATGCGTCAGATTCGTCTCCGCCTCTCTCTCTCTCGCTCGCTCGCTCGCTCGCTCGCTCGTGTGCGCGCTTTCTCTCTTTCTCTCTTTCTCTACCCCGCTCTCTGCGGTGAAAAGGTCGCAACTGATCCGACGGAAAAGAATTTACTTTTAATTAAGCCAGTTTCCTCGATATAACCCTTATTTTTGCATAATTAATAGTCGCGCGTAGAACAGTAGGAGATTCTGTGACAAGCACGTTTATGTGCGTGTAGTCTCACCGAGCGAGAGAGAGAGATAGTGAGTGTGTGTGTGTGTGTGTCGCAATGCAAATTTATGCGGTTTCACGTGCTAAAATCAATACGCCGCTCCGGTGTGTTTAAGAGAGCACTACACAGAGCGGTTTTGTCATGCAAACGGAATTCAATTTGTATTAAACATGATTAAAAACGCGTATTCGACACAGCGAGATACTGTCGGGGAGCTCTATCGACTCGGTCCCGTCGGGCATTAGCAAGTTTCGGCATCGGATCGGCGATCGTAAACCCCGCCACGTGTGATTTAATGAGCGAAGCAGCAAGCTGTTCGCGAATCGCTTCCCCTGGACAAGCGAACCGTGTATCCGAGGCGAAACCGATCGCGCTGCCGCCACTTGACTGCGAAAATCGGGGCCATTGCCGTGTGCATAACATTCTAGGAAAGATACGGTGTATGCCCATACACACGCACACACACACGCACACACACGCACACGGCGTGGCGGTGTTGGCAGGTGTGTGTTGTCAGCGTCTTTACGCCCAATTTGGATTTTTCTGATGAAAGCGTCTTCGCACAAGCAAATTCATTAGAGGCGCGTGTGTAATTCAGGCACCTTTTAGACATTTTCGGCTCTAGAACGCTAGCGCTTCAAATTCTAATTCTAATAAGGGTTATTGCACGGATAATCGCAGATCATACAGGCAAATACAAACTACAAACTACAATAAAACAAGTTCCTGGACTAATAAAAACAAGAGAGAAACGATGTGTCTTATACTACTTGACATGACTGCATGACACATGGTACATAATTTAATTTTGTTAATTTAAATTCGAAACCACGCGCGTTTGTCTTTACGTGGCGCATGCATCGCATCCACTCAAGTAGTTACGACTACGTGTAAGCGAGGCGTTACAGGTATTTTGATAAGAAGCTTGTTGTGTCGCAGTCGCTGTGGGTTAGGAGGGTTACGAGGCGTAGTGTTGTTTACTATTAGCTTCCACTATACGCTATCGCTGTTGGTTAACTCTTCTCGTTGTATCTTGTATCTTGGGGTCCCTCTCTTGTATTTCACAAGGCACTGATTCTCTCTTTGGAATGTGCGGGGAATTTATTCTTATTCTTCTTCTTATTCCTATTCTTCCTAATTCCTAATATTCTTATTCCTTCTCGTTGCTGGCAAGAGATTGTTGTGGAATGTGATTATAGTTCCTGCATCGCCCACCAGGTGGAACTCTTGACGCACATGTCTGCATTGCGACCTCGCGTGGGCAAATGGTAATCTCTGCTAATCCCAAGATAACTGTAGACTGGTTTTCCGTATCTCCTATTGTTTACTTTGTAAAACAAGACAGCTCGTTACCAGTAGAAACCCCCTATTCGACTCTGTCAAAAATCACAGAATTCATTCCCTAGTGGACAGTAGATGTAAAGAAATTCAAAATTCGTCGAAATTTAGAGAAAACGTCTGATTTACGGGAGCAAATCTTGATTGTGATGACAATTGTGGCCAACTTAGCTGCTAAAGATGTTTTTGCAGCGTTGCGTTGTCACTACTCTGTGTGGCTGAGGACTGATTACTCGGTATCGCCAAGAGTTATTATCGACTCTTGGTATCACCGATAAACCACGCAGTGACGTGCTGAGAAAACACATTAGCGTATTGTGTGCCCGGCTTCCGGTCCCGCTACTGTCTTCCACTACTCGCAGACAAAACACGATACAAGATACACCTCGGTGACGTTTTCAGCCAGCGCTGTTGTCGTGGCCGTCATCTCTTTCTTCGCCGACCCCGTGTGGTCTCGCGATGCTCTGTGTCCTGTATTTTTGTTTCCCACCACCCGTAGGGGGGACACGTTTGTGTTCGCCCGCTACCCCAAACACGCGTGTTTTTCCGTCGATCTCCTCGCCTGTCATTCCTTCTTGCTATCCTTTCTTACCACCCCGTGTGCGGCGACTGTGTGTTCCTTTGTATTTGCTCCCCCCCTCCCCAGAACCCGCGCTGACTGACGGCAGGCAATCTGTCACCCATATGTACACATGCCTACGTGCTCTGGTGGACGAATGACCGCGGACAAATGGCTGGGGCGCTGGCGACTGCATCAGCCGCGGACAATCCCCGCCTGATTGAATTGCTCCGTGACAGATTATCCGCTGTATTACAGGGCAAATGACTTAAGCAAACGCTGCGTTTTGGAGACCTCATCTGTTATTCGTTCCGTCGCGCGGTACAAACGTGGTTAGTGTAGTTATTCGGCGCGGGCGCGAACAAAGAACCACCCCCCGAAACAGCCGACGAATGTTCCCCCCTTCCCAATTACATCCGGGGACTAATCATCCGACGGACATTATATGTGATCGTCGCGCCATTATGTCGTCGTCGCGACGGGTTTTCGGTCGCCCCCGAAATCGCGTTAGGTCGTTAGCGCTGCATGACACCTGATTATGAATTCGATTTGGCGAGTCAATAGAGAGTGCGACTACGGTTGCGTGTGTGTACGTATATGCGCTCTCACGTACGGACATTGCGGGTGATGGAGAGAGAGACGTCGCCGTGTGTCTAGCTGGCTGGTGAGACGCGTTAACGACGAGGTGTGATATTCCGTTTAGAACGTGATCGAAACTTCGATGGAGCCGCCGCCGCAAAGTTTAATAACACGTCGGTTGTAACATTTATCTTCTGAGCACGTGAGCACGTCTGCCGTGTGCGTCTGCGTTTGCATGCGCGTGTATGCGTATACGTTCACTATTTAGGGTCAGTTCTGCAGTTGATCGTGAGAAATGACCGGGATATTAATTTATTTCAGAGTGTGCATAAATACGCGGTCACAGACAGCGGGCCACGTACGCACGCACGTAGCCAGCAGCGTGTAACTGCAGATCCCTAGCGTGATCACACGTCAGCATCCCTACTATTACTCAAAGGTAAGTCAACTAAACGCGACAGACACCTGTTTGTTTCTACACGGCCTTGTTTGTGTCTGTCAGAAGCAATTCTTACGGAGTGTCGACGATGAATATTTATCACCATCTTCCCCGGGCGCGCATCTATTTGAATAGATAATTACGAAGAGTAAGGAGAACGCGCTTACGAAGTGAGAGAGACATTTCTCGAGCGCAGTGAGCAGCCGCGACAGATGTAAGTTCCAGTATAAGTTCAGCTGCACCAGTGTAAGTTCTACCGTTTGGGTAACTTCCGTTAGTGCTAGATGCTAGAGTTAGCAGTAGCGGCAAAGTTTGCAGAAAACCGCAGCAGACGTTGCTAGTGCTATCACCGTTTGGCGTGTGTCGTGCAGCGCGTACATCGGCCATGTGTCATCCGCTTCGCATTACGCGACAAATCATGTAAACTATTCCGACTAACTAAACCGTAATCTACTCGGACTAACCGTCGCTGTGCGCCGGATTAGATGCGAACGAGAGAAAGTTTTGTCGTCGTGCCGTAAATCCAGACGTCGGTTTCAGGTGGGCAGCGGCTCCGTATGCACAGCATCGCGATGTGAGTTGAATCGCGAAAAGCTCGACTGACGATTTCGCGAGAAAACCGCTACTGCTGTGTCGAGACTTTTGCATTGACTGCTCCCGGATTTGTTTCGTGAAACTCTCAGGTCGAAGCTGGTTCCTGATAAACACCTGCGATTGCCACAGCGATGTTTATATATATATATATATATATATATGCTTCGCAGACCTACAATGGACGTTTAATTCGAGTTTGCGAGGTGCACTTCGCCATTAGGCTAGCTGCTTACAAAACGACAAAGGCCTTCAGCGCTCTATAAGTAGATAGACATGTAGCCGGCTGCGCTGCGAAATAAAATCTAATGGCGACCGTAAATGTGTCGCCGTAGCTGTTTAGGGCCGTGTAGGCGTCGTCGGTCGCGTGAGCCATGCATTGTCGCGAAACCATTGTCGCGAAATTCAGATTTCAAGCGGAGAATTGAGTTTCTGGCACAATAAACAGCGCCTGTGTATATATACGCGGCATTCTGTTTAGTGTGGGTGGCGTAGATCACGGGTTACCTGAGAAAACCCCACAGCTAAGAGCCGTTTGTGTGTGTATGTGTGTGTGTGTGTGTGTGTGTGTGTGTGTGTGTGTGCGTGCGTGCGTGCGTGTGTGTGTGCATGTGGGCATGTGTGTGTGCGCGCGTGTATGCTGAGATAGGGTGGGGCAGCAACTATGAGCCTATTCATATAGGGATTCGGGATTACTTCAGGCAAGAGTCACGGCAACATTAACAGTAACTTGTAATTCAGTGGGCGCGACGCCAACAGTCCTTTGCCCTGTTAATATTTACACGGCGGACGGCTTTAGTAAGATCTAGGTATATGAACTTTTGGCATCGCTTGAAAATGACTCAAACCGCATCGAATGTATACGTAAATATTCAAGTAACAGGTTGCCGCTCTGTATAACTGCCCACTCATGCAGGTCTGCACTGTGTATAACTGGCTCTAGATTGCACATGTGGCGGCCACGCATGCCGGGGTTGTGTCTAGGGGTGGCCCGCCTTTGCCTACCATTACTCGGAAATGAGATTTTACGGTCACTCGTGGGTGGGAAGCTTTATAAATCAGTTGGACAAACAACAGCACAAGCGTCGGGGCAGGCGGCAGTAGGAGCCGGTCGGGCGGCTCGCACCGTGGTGCTATGTGCGGACGGACCCCCTGCCGTCTGCGCCCAGCCACACCGCCGAGCCCCAGCGAGTGACCCGGACGGACGCAGCGAGCTATAAAAGCGTAATGAGTTGCCGCGCGGTGGTGCGGACAAGGAAATTGCGCATGCTAGCCGCGAGGCGGCGCGGCCCCACCTTGCCGCATTTCTGATTAGACCCAACATGGAAATCGCGTTGTCCGAGCGCGCCGTGAATTGCTAAGTTATATGGTTTGTGATTGCTTTCAGCTGAAACTCCATTCACGCGCGAAATCACGACTATTCACGTGGCTGATGGCAGCCGTAAAAAATGATGATGAATTGGAGAAAATTGTGTGGCGCATTTAACATGTTTAATGTTCCCTTTCCCAACAAACCTAATGCGGTTCTTTCGATTTGAAAAGAATATATGCTGGCTGTCGTGATAGCACGCGAATTCCAAGGGTGTTGATTATTCTGGCATGTTTTATGCTTCGTGTTTCGACGTAATTTCAGTTTTGCATCGCATGCGCGCGCGCCTAGAGCTAATGACGCACACGCAGACGCGAGATGTAAATACCGCTTCGTCAACTTTTCTATTCACTTACGTTCATGCGCCACGGTCCCACACGCGAGATATATTTGAGCCGTAGTTGCGTCAGACATATCAGATAGTGAGTGTCACATCTCATTTTGCCCGTCTTCGGATTCGCTTGCGCAAGTTGCATGCGGTAAGGTAAACACAATTGCAACAATTTCGTCTACAGCTCCGTCTATATGCAGCAGGCGACAGCCACACGTGAAAGAATTCATAATATATCGCCACACGTGAAATAATTGTAGCATTATATAATAATAACATAGTATAATATAGTAGTGTTCAGTATATTTTATAGTGGTCGGTATCGCGCAGTAGCAAGGAAACTAGATGTACAAAATCTGGCCATCGAAGGTTTATAGCCAACCTCTTTAGGATTTATTCTATTCTTCTGAGGTATCCTTTGTAAGAGAAACATCGGTAAAGTACAGTTCGCGTGTCAGCGCGCACCGATTTATCAATCGTTGCATTGTTTCTAGGAAATTGCCATCATTTTCCGTTGCTGTCATGCCGCTCCTGCTCCAGCGATCTCCCCCTGTCTCGCTGTCTCCTTCTCTCTTTTTTTTTCTTTCTGGTTCACTCTCACTCTATCTCTCTCCCTCTCATTGCTTCTCGCTCGCCTTCCTCTCCCCTCACTCCGACATACACGCACAGACGATGCTGATAAAGTTAGAGTTAACCGATTCTGACGAAAATTCGATGTTTCCAGCGATTGTGCACGCCCTGCGTGTTCTGCACGCCATTTCTCGCGGGATTTCGTGAGATTTATCCTATACATTCGTTGCAGACGGGCTGACGGACGCAACTCAATATCGCTTTTGGTCTATTAGGAGCGTCTCTCGCTCGGGAATTCAGATATACTGTTTTTCTCAGTTGCACGTCACGTAACGCCGAACACGAGTGAGACGGAGTGAGACGGAGCGAGAGCTAGCGAGTTAGCCGCGGTCTATATAGTAGTCGCGAATCGATGTCACGGCAAAGTAAACTGCCGCCATTTATCTCAACGGCTCTTCTCCCAGCGAGAATCACATACTGTGAACATTTACGAGCGCGAGCTGCTTGATTGCGCTATATTCCCCGAGAGTCGGCAGAGGCGGCGGCAATGCGACCGCCACGTTATTCTCCTACCGCCATCGTCAGTGTGAGTAACTTTTTATACTTGTTGTGCGTGCACAGCGGCGTGCGTGCGGTGTACTTGTGTGTTGTAGCGGAGCATACGACATTGCAGGAAATTTTCGGCAATAATAGGCAAATGAGAATAAAGAATAACATTGAGACTTTGGTAGTAACTACATTTCGTGTTTATTTACCATAATTTTTTTATTGAGACGTTTCAAGTGCCTGTGCGCAGTAGCGGCTGCGAAGTCTCTGGTAACCGCCTCATATGTGAGCGCGGTCGTGCGAGCGTGGCCCGGTGCGCTGGCACGGCTGGCTTGCCCCCTCCCCTCCTACACGCACTGTCGATGCGCGATATCACACAAAGAAATGAGTTTTTCTTTCTTTTTTGACGCGTTGCGAGAAATATAAACGTCTTTTTTAACCAGCGATGTATTCGGGGAGTTTTTCGGGTCGTATTTGTGTTGTCAAGAAATATCAAGCTAGCCGCGGTTTATTGAGCCGTACAGTGACGGCGTTATTGTGCGGTGTACGCCGAAAAAACATGTTTTGACAACACGTATTGGGTTCTGCGAAATAATATTCATTGTGAGATTATTTATTGAATTTTTTTGGGAATAAATCGCGGAGCCAGATATACGATGAGCTTCCATCGACCATCTGGCAATATTGCATGCGTGCATGTGCATATTGCCCGTCCCTTTTATGGTCGCTGCTGCTGCTGCGTTCTGATAGGGTTCAAATACAGTTCTGAAATACTAGGAAGCCCTACTGAAATTTCACTGGAGACGAGGAAGGGGAGCGAGAGAGCGCATATTGCAGCGGTACATATATGATTCGTGTGTGCGTGGTGAGTGATGGGGGGATGCAAAGCGTTGCTTTTACTCTAAATAAAGGTTCCTCCGTCGATTTCATAAACCGAGTTTTTTTGCGTGTGGATAGGGAAATGTAGTTTTGACTGCAACATGCATGCCTTGCAACACGCAGCAAACATTCCAAACGCCCGATGCTTCGCTGCGTAGCCGTGCTGTGCGCGCAAGTTTGTAGGGAATCGTATTGCATCTCGATCGTCATCTTCCATTTTTTCTTCCTACACGTTCTCCATCCCCGCCGAGCTGACTAGCTGATGAACATCAGGGCGCGTGTGTGTGTGTGTGTGTGTGTGTGTGTGTGTGTGTGTGTGTGTGTGTGTGTGTGTGTGTGTGTG